TATAAAAAAGGAATTTGAAATTTACTAGGCAATCTTTAAATGATCTTCTCTGAACAATTAGCAAATTACACTCAATCTTAAACATCATAATAAAACATTATTATCAAAAGTAATTATTAACATCAAGTTTTACAATTCATCAAGTTTCCTCTCATATAGATATGATTCTTTCATTAGGCAGTCATATAAAATTGATCCATTAAAGAACGTATTAACCATGATTTTTATGGAATCGTTTATCCAGTGAACACAGTGATGTGTCTCCCATAATTTCAGAATAATTTAAGAAGACTACTCTAAGATTACAGAAGCAAAACTTTAGTTAGATGGGTACTGAGCGAAAGATATTTTTTCTCGAACGTGTGTGAGTACTCTGTGTGTACATTATCGTTACTGGTCTCTCGCGTTAGTTAACATTCGATCTGTTATTGGCACAAAATTGTACTAGTAATATGGAAACACCTGCGGGACGTGATCGTCGACGAAGTTCCACGGACAGGTAGCTAAAAAACATTTGAGTGTCATGTGAGTCAGTGATGTAGAGCACGGATGTGCACTTGGCATTGATAAGTTACAGCTTGATGTCATACTTGTTCTATTGCTAAGGGTCTTATTGTTGAAGTACTCTTAGAAGAGTATCTCTATTCTTTCTTTTCTTATAGATCAATGATCTCATAATGCACTCAAGTGACAAGCATTTATATCAAGTTATAATAAGAATTGAGCATTAATTTGTTCAGATAAATGAATGGAGTGTCTAATCTAGTGGATGTTATAGTACAAAATGATATAAAAAAGGCACAACTGCACGACACTCAAACAGTAAAATTTGCTGCCTAAGGGAATCCGCGGAACCGCATCGACACACAGCAACTATACATCATTATTTATGTACGTATCATAAATTAACCTACGTCGTAATAGGAATGTACGAGAAAAACGCCACGAGTTTATCCGGGCGAAACTATTCGTTCGTTAAAAACAGCCGCTGTATTACATGGTACATTGTCACGTATGCTAGTCTTCTATAGCGACACGGGCGATATAGTGAAAGAAGTACTTCTCAATAGTCGAGAGTTATGTATTAGACGTATACGTCTGAGATTGGTTGATTATTCGAAACTGAATACTCGTTCCATGTAAACGCATATTAATTCTGGTATATTGAGTCAAATCCCGTGTCGCCTAAAGACTAACATGCTCGACAGTGAACACCGCGGTCAACTATTTTAGTTCTCGATTATATTTATTAATCGTTACCTACTATAGTCGAATATTATAGATTGCTCAGTCTTTTGGTGAATTGCAGAGTCTGCGATATCGAGACGGGAACGCGGTTGGTTCTTTGGTCGGTGACGTTTTATATAAACGACGAATCAGAATCTTGCGCGACGCAAGTACAATAATTTCTTTAATTCAATGACTCGCTAATGATTTTTATTCGCATCGTATACCCGTATTACTTAATCTGGAATGTCGACGACGCTTTTAATCCGCAGAAAAGCCGCGACGACGTTCAACTAGCGAAGAGGATCGCGCAGCTGGGTTTCGAACGGTTTTGAGTGTTTCGAAAACGGAAGAGAAAAATCGTCGTTGGTAGAAAAACAAACAATATAAAAATACAGTTATGTGTTCGAAGGACCCTCCGTTCTTTTATACAATTAATAATCGCAAGGTTCGCAGACTTTTACATTGACTATTGGATGACAAAGATTCTGTTTCACTTCTCTTCTTGCTGATTATCTCTTACGTAATTTCTCTATTGTATTTCTTCTTCTTCTTCTTCTATTTTGTTATTCCGTGCTCGCGCTTTCGTGATACATCATCGAGCACTCCGCTGATTTTTTCTGTATTTTTTTTTCTTTTTTTCTTTAACATTACCGATTTAACGAACCATGCAGACTCGAGTTTTCAACCATGGTTTAGCTTCGCAGAGAGACATACCATACGCATCCTCGCACTCTGCACTCGTTTCACAACAGATGCACCCGTCTCTGTGTTCGCAAGTAACGCGTGCTACGACCACGAGCGATCTCGTTTGTCTCTTCCGAAAATTCGAATTTAAAAGAAACATATAAAATATCACTCGTGAAAATGGAAGGAGGACGATCGAGGACGCTCGCGATCGAAGCTTATCATCGTTCTCATCAGTCGTATCTCCCCGTTTCCTTTCATCGATCCACGAAAAAATTCCCGAAAATATAGTTTCTCCAATGATTTACTTTTTTATTTTATCAATTCTTCATTTCTCTCGCTCTCGTTTTCTTTTCGCTTAATCGTTTAGTCTCTTCCTCGTTCAGTCTGTCTTGCACGCTCTCTCTTTAATTTTTCATTCTCTCTCGCACGCAAATAGTACAGTCATTCTTGAGCTTAGCACCCTTCAATTTCAGCCTTCCTGTGTTACAAAGGAAACACGCTTCGAAAGTCCCGCGTATCGTGACGCACCGCCTTCAGCTCGCGTATTGCGATAATACGCAAAAATATTTTGTCTTGAGCAAAACATTTGGGTATGTCTACTAGAGATGTTGATATCGATAACTCGATATATCAATAATACTATTAAGATACTGTTGCAGCAAGACTCATGTGTAATTTTGTCATTTAAATTTATTTGTCATCGTTTAAACTTCTGACGTCACCTAATGCGATGCATAAATATATCAGTTAAAAGTAGATGCTAATAAAATTTTTGGATCCCCTTAACAGGAAAAACATACAGTTATCACAAGCTGATTTGCATAATTTCAAGCTTCAATTTATCAATAGAATTTGTGGAGAATTATTTATAGAAAGATTGACAGGCAACGCATGGTTAAGTTTGATTGCCGCCATTTTCCTCATTGCGTCTCTGATAAGTGCTGATAACATTCTTTGTTCATTAATAAGTATTAAACGCTCGAACTTTTTCTTTGCAATGAGGTTTAAAAATAGCATACTAAATCCTACTCTCTATGTTTCTTTTACTACAATAATTTTAAATATTGAATAAAATTATTTTTGACTGAACAAATAAATTATCTCAAGTATAAATATCAAGTATGGATATTGTAATCAACTTGTTATTTACGTTTAAAATTAGTTTAAATAGAATAGAAGTATAAACACGAATAAATATATAAATCCAAATGATAAAATTACACATTACATCCTAATCTCTCGTGCACACAAATATTCACTCGCATTAGCCTTAAATATCTTAACAATATTATCAATACATCGTTAAATATCAATGAGGTATCGATAATTTACCGATAATCAATAGCAGCACCTCTAATGTCTACGCTAATAATACGCGCCAGTGTGTATACTATATATGTATATGTATATCCGGTGTAAGAAACGAAATCGAAAATCGTGGAAAAATATGTTCGTTGTAAAAACCTTGAGTATAAACTTAATTAGTATACCGGAAGAGTTTGATCTCAAAAAAAAAAAAATTTTAGGAAGAGTATTGTTTCATGTTCCTATTTAAATCATAGTTTCTCACGTGCACCTGATGCACGTGTTTATTCATATTTGATAATCATTAATTGTTCGGCTCCTCTATCTACCCTGTATACATGAACAGAATCGATACGCTCGACCCTGTATACAGAGTGCTCCATTTTTTAAATCAGGTCCATCGAATATTTATACATCTGCTGATGATGTCGAAAAATATTTAAAATAAAAATTTGTCTTGTAGAGTACATAATTGATATGGTATTAAAATAATTTAGTTGAGATAAAGTTGAGGTATACTTTATCTTTTTTAATATTCCAACTTGCAGTTTATGATAAAATACCTCAACTGTTATTCTTTTAATCATAGTGCACTACTACATTTTTACAGAGGGTATTCAGAAGAACCAATATACTTAAAAATACGCAATTGAATATAAAAAAATATTAGCTGCCTTCTATATGTCCATTGACAAAAAAATTACTTATATCCAATCCTCCCCTTGAAATTATTCAGTTCTTTAAAATATTTGTATCATCAACAGTTTTCTAAATACTTGATAGGACTGATTTGTTGAAACACCCTATACAAAACGCTAAAACGAGAAACAAAGATATGCATTTCTCTTGTAACACGGTGTGTATGGTATATGCTCCCGAAAAAGAAAGTCCAGTCTCTGCATGCACCGGTAAAGTAACGAATCTGCATACGACGTACAAAAGAAGAAACAGAAAAATGTAGACAATAGAAAAGCTATTCCGTCACGGAGGCCTTTATCGTAACTCTAGTCGATCCTACCAAAGGAAAAAATTCGCCTGGCGAGGAAGATCCAATATCGAGAGACGTCGATCGATCCATCAAGATTCAATCATAATAATTATTAATCTCGAAATAATTCCGTCTCGATGAACAGCTGTCCATGATAGTTTGGTTAAGCGAATCTTGTAGCCCGAAAACGAATATACATAACTATACGCGCGCTCGTGTGTGTATGTGTGTGTGTACGTACGTATATATTAATATACAAATTTATCGATATTCGTTAATATTACTCAATAATGGTCGCTATATAATAAATTTATATACTTCATTACCTTATCAATAAATATACAGTAGCAGTGTGACGCGTGATCAGGCGCGATCATTCGGTTAACCAAACTCATTTTGCGCGTTTTTATACCTTTTTTGGTAGCTTGATGGATCCATTGACGAACTGATAATTTTGATACGGTAACCGTTTGATAAATACCTGTGGTTGAGGCTTGGAATTTGTTTCTTCCGAAAGTATAGGGTTCTTAAGTAAATTGAATAGGACGTTGACACGATTCAATTCAATGCGATCCAACTCAATATGTATTAATTTGATGCGATTCGATCCAACATGATGCAATTTAACGTGGTTCGACTCAACGTGATGAAACGCAAGAAATTCAAATTGACGTGATTCAATTCAATATGATTTGACTCGATGCAATTAAATTCTTACTGTACCAAAGGATCATTGTTTACATATATTCTATTTATTCCTTGACGAGTAACAGAGTAAACTACATGCCTATACGTAAACAAGTATGTGCTATACATATATGATTACTCTAACATACATTAAAGCAGCAAGCATTTATCGAGCGGTCACCGTATCAGATCTGAAGAATCCCCGTCAACCCTGTCCACATTAGTCATTGCTCGTTCACGTTTTCGAAAAACATCCCTCGAGTGGCTGACTACGACCTCATCTTGCATAGAATAATTCTGCCGTATACAAGCTGATAATGAAAATTAGATTACGACGCGACGAAGTGAACGCGATTAAAGGAACGTCGTCTCGATTTTTTTTTACCAGTCTTTCATTAGGCTCTCTGCTTCTCTATAGAATTCTCATTTCGATCAGTGTCTCTCTCTCACTCTCTCTCAATCGCACTCGCTTCCTCTCCCTTTCGCTCTCTGACTCGCTCTCTTTCTCGCACGCAGTAACACGGCACTTAAAAAGTTTTTATTGCGATAAGTGTTACGGTAAATTGAGTGTCCACAAGTGTGTTTCGAGCACTTTCGTTCTCTCCTTCGTTCGAACCAACGGGACAACTGACGTGTCCAGAAGCGTCTCCTTTTTTTCACTTTAGGTCCTCCATCGCGCCGTAATTGGCCAATGACTTTTTAATCCTAAGCGCGGTTAATCTAGCTGCCGCATTGTGGTACCAACACTCTTTCATCACCTTTGACATCACTTGCAATGCCTGCAAAAATCCAAGTGTATTTCGTTATTATTTAACTCATTGATAATTATCCAGGTGCAATTGCAATTTGCTAAATTTTTATATTTCTGCACTTGTCAAAGCTTTATCTTACATGTGTATCCATATATTCCTATATTTCTATATTCCTACATCTCTATATTCCTATATCCTACATTGTCCACATTCTTACAGAAATAGACATCAGCTAATAAATCAACAATAAATCTTGTTAAAGTTAAATACAAATCATCAGGAGAAAATTTGCAAACATACATCCAGATATTTAAAAAATAAAAATTAATGAAAGGTAGTCATTTTTGTTAACTAAAAATAACTCGAGTTTAAAAGAGTCTATGATTGTTTTAAGCAAAGTGAGATCATAATTGAGCGGCGTATGATTTTACCTCGATGGACTGCCACCGATTCGGTATCGAGGGCCTCTGCCTATCGGTGCATACAACTTTACGCATCTCTTCGATCGTTGGATCGGAAGGCACCAGGTCGTAAAACGGTAACTGATATTCGTCGTGAATCCCGCCGACGTTACATCGCCTGGCGATCTCCCAGAGGATCAGCCCGAGAGCGTACACGTCAGCCCTCTTGAAGGATTCAAAGTGGTTCATGTTTACCGTCTCTTCGAGAACCTGAAAGCAGAAGCAACAATTCGTCAGAAGGCTGTTCTCGAGGAGGGACTTCCTTCAAAGCAGATCGCGAGTATAGCCTCTGTAGTTTCTTCTTCTCTTGTTGGAAATCGAATATTAATAATGGAGATGCAATTACTATCAAATTTTATTTAACAATGTTAACGTTGTCTACAATGTTAACTCTTCACGTCTATCATCTCTTAACTCATTGTCAGATTTTTACATCGACTGTGTATGTCACAGAAAACTTTCAAAATATAATAACATTATCATCTTAGAAAATTTACAATCATTTTAGAGAAGAAAAAACGATGAGAAAAATGTAATGATGTTTTATAAATGTTACATCAAGAACACAAATGTGTTATGTTTTCAGTTTACAATTGATAAAATATTTAATGTGCGAACAGAATGTGAATCGAGTTATATGAGAGGTATTTTTATTAAAGAATACCTCGGGTGCCATATATCGCTTGGTGCCGACCCGATTGTTCAGTTGAATATCGACGGTGTTTGTTCTCACGTCATGCCTGACGGCCAATCCAAGATCACCTATGGCGCATGTACCATTCGTCTTCACGAGGATATTTTTCGACTTCAAATCCCTGTGAGCGATGGCTGGCTTGCCTTGTGTACCGACGATTTCCATGTGGAGATGCGCTAACCCCGTAGTGATCGACAAGGCCATTCGGATCATACCGTTCGTGTCCACAGTCGATACGTTCAAATAATCGAACAGCGAACCTTTCTCGTGATAATCCGTGATCAGCCACAACTGGGTCCAGGTGCCGTTATCTGAGAACAGGAAAATAATAGAACGGTGTTACGATTACTGTACCCGAGAGACTACATTTCTTGACTTCTTTATTTCGAGAATGATAATGGGAAAATCTGATTTAATTTAATTGATGAAGTAAGTAAAGAAATGTGAAAAGGTGAAATTTTTTTTGTGGAAATAAAAGATGTATGTTTGTGTATGTTACAGGAGGTGTAATACCAGATTTCTAGATTTTTAGATTTGAAGGTTTTTAGATTTGAAGATTTTTAGATTTCAAGACTTTTAGATTTGAAGATTTTTAGATTCTTAGATTCCTAAATTTCTAGGTTTCTAGGTTCCTAGGTTTCTAAATTCCTAAGCTTCTAGATTCTTAGGTTCTTAGATTCCTAGAGTCTGAGATATCTACATCTCCAGATTTCTACATTTCAAAATTTCTACATTAGTACATCCCCTATAGTCATAAATTCCTACACCCCTAGGCCTCCACACTCACAAATTCATTACGTCTCCAAATTTCCACACAGATCCATAAATTCTCCCGGTCCCCAAAATTTCCCTATTCCTATATTCCTAAATCACCATACCCCAAATCTCTATACTTTAACTTCTTATATTCCCAAATCTCTTGATCCCCATATATTCTGCTTCCTACACCCTTACATCCCCAGATCCTTATAACCCCAAATCCCATCAATCTCAATGTTCCCACATTTCTAAATTTCCACATACTAGATTCTCACAATCAAGGAAGAAGAGTCTTGGAAAAAAAATTGTTTATGTCGATTGAATAATATCGACGATATTTTGTTGAATGGAGTAAAAAGTTTGCAATCTGAAAATGACCGTTGGCCAGTCAGATTATAAAAGAGATATCAAACTGCGTAGTCGGTATTCACAAGCCTGAAGAAATATGTGTTATCGATGCACGTTGCAAAAAAAAGCACGAGGTATCGCAATCGACTATTTCGTAATGGATTTTCTGCTTTTATTTGATGTTTCAACGAGTGAGTATACAATATGACATAAAGCTGTCAATAGAATGCAACAAATATTGAACATGAACGTAATGATAAAACCTCGTATCAGATTTAATGGATTAAGAGATCAATAACGGAGTTGATTGTTCATACTGGATCTAGTGATTTTGAATGTTCTTTTACGAGGAATTATTTGGAGAATAGGGTGCTTCAAAATATTTGACAATGTAGAATTAATTTTCATGTTGCACTTTTTATAAAATTTCATTTTTTATAGAATTGTTTTTATTAGCTTCGGGTAGATGTAAAATCATGTGCAGATTTTACCTGCAAAATATTGGTAGCATTATACATCAAAATTACTGCAAAATACTTCAACAAATGTAATTAACAAACAAAGCTAAATAAGAGAGTAAAAATACAGTAACTGACTTTTATCAGAAAAAATTTATTTCTAATTATTTAAAGAATTTTTATATGCAAAATATCAAAATTCCGGAATAACTAATGGTATTACAAATTGCCACTTATTTTGAACCACCCTGTACTTCACAGCTATGAAGTTTTCAAATTCAAGTTTGAATTCAGTACGATACAATGAATGGAAGTAGATGAAACAGTAACAATGAAGTTTAATGTACAAATACCCCGGTGTCTTAACAAAGACTAGACTAAATGTCAGAACAAAACTGGAAACACCTCTGAAACAATGTCATCGATTCCGTAATATATTCCTTCGAGCTCGACATTTATAGACTGAAATGGGTCATCGTGTATGCTTAACACAGTCACCTATTAATATTATTTAGGGCACTCTTCGAACAAAAGGACATTCTATAACGATTCGTGTCGTGATGGCATAACCACTATTCTAAGATTTGTCTATTAGCTGTTTTGTCTTTGAATAACAGTTTGAAATAACAATTTTAATAGGTAGCAAATAATAAGACAAACTAACGATCTAATTATGAGATATGTGGTCAGATTATATACAATAACGTAATTATCTAACTAAATATTTAATTAGCATCATATTTTATTTTTGTACATGTTAGAACAAAATTTATACAAATAGTTAAGGTATGAATAAAAAACATGTTTGCACTCTATGAATATATAAAAAATTCTTGACATAAGTTTTGAAAATTCAAGTCGCGTTTCAAGCTCAAAATGTATGAATAAAAAATCTGATCCACATGATAGTAAGAAAGAAGTTTAACCTCGTTTTCAATTTGTCAGAATTCGAAGGTGATGCTAAAAGATTCTGAGCCGTTAAGTTGTGATAATTCAAGTCGCGTTCTAAGGGTAGAATTTAATCGGCAGATAAAAAAATGCGCACGCGTGCGTGCAGCGGTTACGTACCTTTGTTATCGGCAGCGATAAACCCGAGGATATTGTCGTGCCTCAGCATCACCGTCTGATAAATTTCAACCTCCCTGAACCAAGACCTCTCCTCCCGAGAGCTGAAGATCTTGACAGCGACATTTTCACCCCTCCAACGACCACGCCAGACTTCGCCGAAGCGACCCTTTCCGATCGTCTCCACCAGCTGAATCTGGCGGGCTATGCTCCGCTGTACCAGGAGCGGCAGGCCTACTTGAGAGAGGGATGGGCATTGAAGAACACGAATTTCAGTATGATTGAAGATGACTCCTGTACACTTAACTAACACTCGGTGGTTGGCGTGAACGAGTTAGAACGCTTTAACACATTGTATGCGATTAACTGTCGTTAATTCTGAGTTTGCGATACAATTTCATATTTTTATAGATGGTAAGTTCAAGGTAGATGTAAAAGAAATTTTGTTGTATAGAAATAGTGTCATACTGAGGTATTTATAATATTTTCTCACATCTTTAACGTGATGCGTGCTAGGTTTATGGATCAGTTGCTTTCAGACTAAAAGTGAAGTACAAAGACAAATAAGGGATGAAATATAAGAGGGTTATTTATTACACTTACGATACATTTTCTGATACCTGAGACTCATTCTTTTGATTCGTTCAAATTTATCTATTTTTTTATTATATTATTATTCGAATAGACTTTAAAGATTGTAATGGTATAATTTATGAGGAATATGAAGATTTTTTAATTTTAGAGAAGTTAAGGAGATGGAAATTTAAATGTACAGGTACAAGTATTGATACAAATTTATGTCTGAGTATAATTTTATAAATAAATCAAATTTTGATTTCTCTGCACACAATGCTCTTATTCAAACTTGCATACAATGTGTTAAAAAAAAGGAAAACGTATAGAATTCTCGTTCATTAACCCTTTTGCCACGTCGCAATCAATCATAAAGTAAAGAAAATTACGAATCTTATTAACTCTTAGAATAACAAGTTTCCCTTTTTTATGCTATAAAATATATGCATAGACAGTTCAGAAAAACTGTATACATTCGTTAAATATTACTGTGTAACGTTTCTATCTTTTTTCATAAGAAATATTACATAAAGCTTGCAATTATTATTTTACACATCACTATTCAATTTTTTAGATGTTACTATTTTAACATTTGCATTTGGGTTCTTAGATATTATTTAAGATTTGCATTTCAGATGTCAGATATTGTTATTTGACATTTGAATGTAATTTTAGATGTTAGTATTTAATATGAGCATTTGATAATTAATCAATCTTTTGACAATTTTTTAAAAAATATATGTTACCGACAGTTCGTCTTCCTAAGAATTATCATTCATTAGCAATCACATTTGCATTTAATTTCTCACCACTAACAATAATGAAATTCCAGGTATTTATCTTTTATTTCCTCCAAAGTTCCAGCCGTTTTTAAGTGATTTAATTATCAAACTAAACACATGCGTGTAAAAGATCAAAAGTCACTACAGTGTATTTCATCCACTTTGTAGATCAAAATTCTTTATCTTAATTAGAAGTAATCTGTATTAATCATCAAGAACTTCCTGAACAATCTATTAAAAGTAGAACGCAAGATAAATTCAAATTACCAGTAATATTCATTTGCTTATTACACGACTGATTATGCGCTTATGATCAAGGTCCGCAAAGTGTAAATAAATCACGTAATCTATGAAATCCGCAATCTTCAGATTACACGATTTCCGCAGACTCATACATATATAGAACGCATAATATCATTTATTTATGACAAAAGGGTACGCCAGAAGGAATTTATAACGAACTCTATTTTGACCTACCTGAGCCACTTCCACTGGTTGTCTTCTCCAGCATGTCCCTGATGGTAACACCATCCAGAATGGGTCGATCCGAGTCGTCGGGATCAGGTGGGGTCGGTGGTTTGGTTATGTACACATGATAGATGACCATGACAACCACACAGATCGCGCATATTGGCATCGCGATCGTCAAGGCCATTTTCCAAGTGACCCATGTCGCGTCATCGCCAATCGGTTGCACTTTTGGTAACAAATCAACCATTACACTTTATTCTGACAATAATATATCTGATCACCCAGGGAAACGTTCATATTAACTAGCTTCTCTTATTTATATACTTGTTTACCTTTCACTGTTCAAAATCTCATATGCGTTCCATGCATTAGCTTTAATCAGTTCCTCAAGTTACAGATGCCTCAAGTTATATTTGTTAGATCTTTATGAATATAGTTATAAATTATGTTAGTTATAAAATTCAAAGATAAAATTATAAATTAATTACAAACATAATTTTCGACTTTTTAAACTGGCAGTACTGTAATTATATGGAACGTGTCATTCATATGGTTTGAGACATACACACATACATGTATACACATATGACATGTACGTATAAACATAGGACATGTTTAAAAAATTCAACCATATGAATTCCAAAAATTTAACAAACCATATATATGTTTGAAGACATACATATACATATGTGTATACACATATACACATGCATATGTGTATACATATACACATATACACATATGTGTATGTATAAACATATGGATGACGTGTTTCAAAAATTCAACCATATGAATTGCAAAAGTGCAACAAATGATACATATGTTTGAAGACATACATATACATATGTGTATACACATATGCACATATATACATATGTGTATGTATAAACATGTGAATGACATGTTTCAAAAATTCAACCATATAAATTACAATAATTCCACAAACCATACATTTGTTTTGAGACATACAAATATATACATATGTATATGTATACACATATGGATGACATGTTCTACATAGATCATTATACATAAACAAAGTATAATATAATTATGTATAATACATTTATGTGTACACATTAAAAAGTGTAAATGTATACATCACCAAATATATACAAGGTTTACATACTTTTATAAATATATTCATAATGAAAGAGCATGTAAGAGCATATTCTGATCGGATTTCGATCAGACACGATTCAATTTGAAGCGAAGAATTATAAGCTATTCTGTGTCGATTTTACAACAGAGAAAGGATTAACGGTTCTGAAACGAATTAAACTACCGTGGTGATATTTCACGCGGAATAGATTCGAGGTGTTCGAAGTAGTTCGAGCAAATCGAATCGATCGAACGTAACACGTTTCCCCGAGCGATCGGAAAAGCCAGCGAAGCGAAACTTCGACGGAAGATCGAAGGATAATAATCTGGCGAAGCTGGCGTAACGCAGATGCACAGTGTAAACCTTTGCAAAAAAAAGACATGCTAAATGACAAACAGACGAAATACATGCGTGATATTAGCGTTGCAAATCGACAGGCACATGCGAGTTAGGGTTCAGTGCGAACGGGTCAGTGGGACCAGGAACAAGGACAAACTCTTCTTTCAGTTTTCAAAAATAACTCCAGAATGATGGAAATCGTGCTTGCAATTTTTATTAAACTATAATGTTCTAATTGGTAGATTAACGACTAAAGGGCAAAATTCATGGAGAGTTTTTATTAAAAAATTCTTATCGATTTAATGAAAAGTCGAATAAATTTTAACATCAGTTCAATTCCTTATGGCTTTGATAGTACTTGTGTAAAGAATTTTTCTAGTAAAATAAAATAATTTTGTGGATACAGTATCAAATACTGAGACTTTGTTACAATAGCAATTTAACTTTAATTTTACTTTAAAAATATTTGCTTTAAAAGTTGCTTTATTTTTGAAGATCAAAAAGAAATAACTCACATATGTTAAAGTAACATATGCATCAAGAAATTGTAACAAAATTTTAGCATTCAAGATAAGAAATATTTATTTCATTTTATCACAAATTAAACCAATTACCTTAACAAGCTAAAAATCTCGCATAAAATCGATAAGAATTTTATCTAGATTTGAATTTTGCCGCCATATGTCGCGTCCGGTTTAAATCACCATGGAGGATCATTTTCGTATCATTCCTCAAGGATGACTAAACAAAACGATCAAAAATATTCGATTTGCGAACCTTTGAAAAAGAAAACAAACAAGCACCGTACATGTTTGCGAGTAAAAGAAAACGGTATCTCGATGATCAGCCTCTTCCATCATTTGATCGATCACCGAAAAATCAGCTATCTCGGTTACCTGTCCAATCAGCTGAAAGTACACAGTTGATGCAACCTGGTGCATGAGTCATCGTGCCTCAAGGATACAAGGCCTTTCGTGATCTCGGGATCCTTCTGATCGAGACATCTCGGTGCAACTTGACTTACCTGCGCTTTGATCGTCAAGCATGGCAGAAGATGAGATCCTTCAGGCGGATGCTGTTAATTGGTTATTCCTCGAAACACCACACGTTAACCCATTAATTCCCGGAACTCGAAAATGAATTGTGCTTCATTTGTGTAATTAATTTTGTATGTAATTTTTCGAACGTTATATGGCTTTTATTGTGTAATTTAAGTTAGCACTGTAATACTTGTGGTTTTGTGATATAAGATGAATGTTGTGGTATGAAGTTTGAGTTTGTTTAGGTGTGCTGGAGTAGTCTCAAATTTTTGTACTTGAAATTTGGAAGTTTGAAGAGAAATTTAGTTTTGTGATATAAGATGAATATTGTAGTAAGAGGAATTTTTATGCTGTTTAGGTGTGCTGGAGTAGTCTAAAATTTTTGTACTTGAACATTTGGAAGCTTCAAGAGAAGAGGAACATGTTGAGAAATTTGGGGATTTGGGAATTTGGGAATTTTAGGAGTTGAAGAGTTGATAATCTGAGATTTTGAGAATTTAAAAATTTTGAAATTTGGGGAGTGGAGAGATACGGAAAATTTGAGAATTTGGGAATACAGAAATTCGGAAATTTGAAATTTGGGAATGTAGAAATTTGGAAACTACAAAAATTCGGAGATTTGGAATTTGGGAACTAGAAAAATTCGGAAATTTGGAATTTGGAAATGTAGAAATTTGGAAATTTGAGAATTTGGGAATGTAGAAATTTGGGAACTAGTGGAACTTGGAAATTTGAGAATTTGGAAATGTAGAAATTTGGAAATTTAAAATTTGGGAATGTAGAAATTTGGAAACTAGAAAAATTCGGAGATTTGGAATTTGGGAACTAGAGAAATTCGGAAATTTGGAACTTGGAAATGTAGAAATTTGGAAATTTGAGAATTTGGGAATGTAGAAATTTGGGAACTGGAGAAATTTGGAAATTTGAGAATTTGGGAATGTAGAAATTTGGGAACTGGTGGAAGTTGGAAATTTAAGAATTTCGGAATGTAGAAATTTGGGAACTGGTGGAAGTTGGAAATTTGAGAATTTGGGAACTAGTGGAAGTTGGAAATTTGAGAATTCTAAAAATTACAAACTCACAACCTCAAAAATCTAGAAACCCAACAATTAAAAAATTTGCAAATTAAAAATTTGAAATGTAGGAGAACCACACACATATATATCACAATACCACATATGCAGAAGTACTAATTCAAGTCACCCACTTTCTAACAATTTGCAACTATAAACATTATCTATAACAGGAACAAAATAAACTGAGCAAATACCAGGTATTAACGGGTTAAAAACACGCTGTTATTTGTGATATACGTATACATATCCATTGGTGCTGTCGTCGAGGCATATAAAGAAAAAAGAAATTGAATTTTGAATGATCCAATTATCTCGCGGTGGAAATTGGAAAGATTACGAGGGAGTGGACATTGCCGTGAAAAACAAATATCCGAGGAATCGAATCAATCACGGAACCATCCATACAGCAGTTCGCGATAAGACACCAACCAAATTGTTTCCCCAAGAGGAATTCGATGAGAGACGATCACGATGGAATGATTGTATGTCCAGGTGATACCCAATCAAAATTGGGAAGAATATACCTTGCTGACTTGCAATGTTAGTTAATGAAATCGGAATTCGATGATTTTTCGCGTCATGCAGTTTTTTGGGTTTCGATGAGAAGCGTGCGATCGCACACGAGAATGTAAAACGAGTTATCGATCCACTCGTGATCCTTTCTTGATCCACTTATAAACTGTTCTTAATTCGTTTGTGATCCACTGGTAGTTTGATTGAATATTTTATTGTTTACGTCGGTGATGAGTAGAATATTAGTAATTTGATGACTTGGAAATTTGGAAATGTGAAGGTTCAAATTTTTGTATGTTCAAAGTTATTTTGGACACTGCACATTTTTATGGCTTGAAAGTTCCAATTTCTTACAGCTTCCAATTTTGGTAATTTGAAAATTACCTGAGCTGAAAGTTGCACAATTTTAGAGATTTTAAATGTCAAGAATTTATTGAGTAAAAGATAAAGAAATTTTGAATAATCGAATTCTCTGATGTCTACATTTTTTAACTTCAAAATCACATTTTTTAACTGCATTCAATTTCAGCAGCATTCTTTTACGATCATTTGTAAAATTGTTCAACTTCTTCAATTTCCAAATGACCAACATTTGTAGAATTTATAAATTTGAAAATATAAATGTTTAAACATTGACAAACTAAAAAGAAAAGTTAGAGAAATTTATAAAAATAAAAATACAGAAAATTCAAACAAACAGAAAACTACAAATTCTGTACACAAGAAATTTGTAAATAATAAAATTTATAATAATGAAATTTCCAAACAGGTAAATTACGAATGATCTACTCACCACAGGTCGGTTGTATAGAATAGAATATTCAATTGAACTGAGAGCGGATCATGATCGGATTTAAAATGAATCGTAAATGTACTGCTAGCGAACCATGAGCGGATCAATAGCGTGAATTGGGTCTAACATTACGCGAACGTGGATTATTTCAACACTTGATAGCCGATGAGAATAGATCTTAAAAATGAGTCCAAATATCGACACATTTGATAGTTCCATTAATTTACGACTGCAGCTCTTTCAATTGTATAAAAGTTCTAACAGTAGACGTAGCATTTATAGCTGTTCAAGAATTGTTGTCTGAAGTGTCCATTTACTGGTATATCCAGTAATAGCACGAGCCACTGTTCTATTAAACTGTA